CAGAAATAGGAGTAAGAGGGGAGAGAAATGAAGAGGGCCGACCATAGGGAAATCTAGTACTCAATATTCCAATCTCGGTGAAGTATTCATATATATATATATATATATATAAACATAAATCCTTTACATAAGAAGGCCAATAAATATACCCCATGATGATTCTCCATGAAATTAGTTCTATGTTAATTATTAGTTAATTTGAAAAGGTGAGAAGAAAATCATTTTGAGCCAGATTTTAGGTCATTGATGCCCTACTTGGTTTACATCACTGCTACTTGTGTCAAAGAGCTTTAATGTAGCAATTTTTCTCTTTATTACAATGCTCATCTTACATACATTTAATTCAGCTTGGAGATTTTGCGATGGTACTTTTTAGTTTAAATTAAGCTTTTGAAGAAAAACTTTGTTATGTTTGCCTAGACATATGCTACACATTCTTCATACAATATATATGTATATAATTGGTTTTTGTATTATCATTTATCTTATTGCATTTCTGGAATCAGATTGCTCAAACCATGCAAATTCCATTTTCTTATGCTGAGGACATCATTGGGATTGGAGGAGTTAATATTGCACACATTCGGCGCACTAGTGGAGCCATCATAACTGTGCAAGAAAGTGGTGGCCTGTCTGATGAAATAACCGTCGAAATTAAAGGCACCTCAATACAGGTTCAGTTGGCTCAACAACTGATTCAAGTAAGAAATGACTTCTAATTTAACTATAGCTTGCTGGTGTTTAAAGTTTCACTTTCGCTTATATTAATTACGGAACTATGCCTGCTTTGTATTCTCCTTCATGGGTTTGATCTCTTTGGATTTCTATATTGCTCCAATGCTTCAATTATCATTTCCGGATATGGGTTTGGATATATGATCTAAGAACTTTTCAGATGCATGACATACTCGTGTATACACACTCAAGTTCGAGTTACGTAAATGGATGTTATTAACTTGTTGAGATTGCTGATTCTTTGGTTAATGCAGGAGTTCATGAGCAATCACAAAGATCCGATCACAAGTGGCGGCAGCTACAGAGACACGGGGTATAGGCCCTCCTCGTTTTCACAGTTGGGCTACACACCTTCACTTTCGTCTCAACAACCCTATGGCGGATACGGAGGATCTTCTAGTGTAAGTGGCTACTCTACTTTTAGGCTTTAAGATAATTATCGTTTAACCTTGTTAGACTTTGCAGTCTCTTTGTTGGAATGAATTCGTCTGGGTGTTTCTCTGTTGGGGATTATTAGACTCAGGTTAAGTTTCAGAAAACTTAATATATTATATATATAAATATATATGTAAAATTATCGGTTCACACTAATGCTTTCTTCAAAACATTTGATGTAATGTTTTACATCCAAGTTTGACAACTTAAAACATTAAACATTCAATCTTCTTGCCTAATTCTAACTTGAATTATCTTACAAAAATAATAAGGGTAGTGTAGACCAGAAGTCCCTAAACTAGGCTCAAATGGTTGTTTTTAGTACTGAACTTTTAAAAATTACAAAATGATTGTTAAATTTATTGAAATTTTCACATATAATAATGTCCTAATCTTTATTATAATTTTAGATTATTTCATTAATTATGTAATAATAATAATGCAGATTACATAATTCTTATTGTTAAAAAAATTGATACATAATTTTTTATATAATTTTAATGATAGTTACATAATAATATGCTCCTCACATTTATTTAGCTCTTATCATCTTTTAAGTTAGGTTTGTTTACTTAGAAGCCATAAATAAATACTACTAAGGTTTTGAAATATAATACAAAAAATTAAAATATTTTAATTTTAATTATGAAGTTATTAAAAAATCAAATTTCTTACGGTTTAGATTGAGCTTTGGTTATAATTGATATTGTTATTAATTTTATCAAATAATCCATAAATTGTTCATAATGAAACAAAAGTTAATTTTATAAATTTGGGTTTGGTCCTCTTAGCCAATCACAATTGCTCATAGCGTGGATGTTTAGCTATTTGATCCTCAAATTTAGCTACAAAAAATGTATGGATACTAATATAAAAAAGGTTTTTAGACTTTTACCATTTCTTAGATATAAAATGGATTTGTATCTTAAAATTAAATTTAATATTTGAGATGTGTTGTTTATATATATATATATATATATATATATAATTATGGGGAGAATACAATATACTAGCTATCCAAAGATTTTCAATCATTTCGTAATAAACGTTCATGCTCTTGCATAAGTGGTATTTGAACTCAGGACCTCAAGGGATAAAAACAATCCTTTAATCACCGAGGTCACTTATTTGTGATATTAATTTAATAAAAATATAATCACATTAGAGATTATTCTTCTGAAATTTAAATTAATAACGATTTTAAAAATAAATAAAGTGATAATTAATTTGTAAAACACAATATTTATGTAATTATTTTTCTAAGTTTAAATTAAATTTTTATCAGAAATTATGCGAAGTATTAAAGTAAAATGTTGATAAAACAATAAAAAAAATAACTCCAAAAACGAGTCTGATTCATTTAGGGATGGGTATGGGATTTGATTCAATCGGGTTAGGGTTTATTTTTTTAAAAAAATTGGGTTCGGGTTGGGTCGGATTTTTTTTAAAGGTGATGTTTGGGTCGTGTTGGATTCGGGTTTAGGGTGAAAAATACCCGACTCGGGAAAAAATAATTTTACCTTATATATTTAGAAATAATTACAATAATACTTTTTTATATATTATTTTTTCAATTGAAACACTATTTTTATTGAATAAAAATAATATTTTTTATTATTTTGGATCGGGTTTGTATTTTATCTCAAAAAATCGGATTGGGTTCGGGTTGGGTGGAGTGTATATATTTTCGGGTCGGGTCGACCAAAACCCGACCCATGCTCATCCCTGGATTCATTGCTTTGCGAATATATTGTAGGCAAAACTTAAGATGAGAATTAGCATTTTATAAGATAATAATTGTAAAGATTACAACAATTATATTAACGGTTTACTAGTAATAATTGTAAAACATTTTTGTAACTTCTAATTTGTTTGTTTTGTGAGAAGAATTTGATAAATGATTGTTTTAAAAATATAAGTATATAATATGATACAAATAGATAATTATGTTAAAATTTGTAAAAATATATAATATATTGAGTATTATTATGCTATGGAAAGTAGCATAACACATGAAATAAAATTGGGAGTTATTCTTATAATGATTGATTTGGATTTAGATAATATTTTTAAAAAATTGGTTTAATACCGAAGTGTTTAGTATTACTGTCAGAATGTGATTTTGAAAAGATACATTATCATTGTAGATACAATATTGTAGATTAAAAATATATTCAAATCATATTTGAATTTTTTAATATTATAATATATTAATTTAATTTATAATAAAAATATAAAACAAATTTTATTAAAAATAATTTATAATAATTGTGTGTGTTTTACAAAAAATATATAAAATTTAAAAAAAATTATAAAATGAGAATAATTTCAAACCATAAATAGTTTGCTGATCATGTAATTATATATTAATTAAAAATATAAATTTTTAAATCGTAAAATAAGTAGATCTTACTATTATAAATAAATATTAAAATTGTAATTGTAGTTTTGAAAATATTTTTCAAATGTAAAAGTTGAAATTTTCAACATATATTATCATTAAAACTGTTTTTTAAGAGTTATTATCTGATACACGTGTATTTAAATCTTAAAATCTAAATTCTTAAATTCAAACCCTAAATTTTAAACTCATTTGAATAGAACACACAACATTAAAATAAATATGCTTGTGTAAACTAAAGTTATTGGTTTAGTATTTCTCATGATTCAAACATAACGTTAAACGGGATTTGAATTTGATAATTTAAAGTACAAAATTAATATAGATACAATATGAGAAAATGTTTAGAAATTAACACGAAATAAAATGATATATAACGTGGTAAATAAATGGTTAACATTAGAACTTACCACAAAAGTATTATGATGTGTTATGTTGGTAGGCAGCAGATTAATCCGTCGTACTTTGGTGCAATTTTCTTGTGTGTGTGCGTGTGGTATTTAAGTTATGGAAACTGTTTGAAAAGCAGATATGCGTGTGTTAATGTCTGACGATGCGTATTACCGGTGATAGGTTCGACTTTTAGATGATCTAATGGAGCCACTACGATATGATAGCCCTCCATTTGCGGCTGATCTCCGACTTCGATTTCAGCATAAGTGATGCTGGAGACGACGGCAACCCATTCAAACATATTGCAGTTCATTGAACATGGTTTTAACCGACGGTTTGCCCCGTTATAACGAAGCACGGAAATAACGGAACGGCGGGTTTAGGGTTTCGCCCGATGATGATTGGTTCGGGGTGATGGGGGTGCTATGAAAAACACAATCAAGCTGGATGGCAGACGAGCATTACTCTTGGTGAATAATTACATATGATCCACGGCAGATCATGAACTGGAATTTCGAAATTTCTCACCCATGCTTCTATTCAGTTCATGAATCCGATATGATTTTTCTTTTGTTTAATCATCCATATTCAATCTATTAATCAATGATCAAATATTTTAAAAATTCATTTATGATGACATCATCTTAATTTAATTTGATATATTCACAATTAGGGGTAAATAAAACTCAATTCGGTTCTAAAAATTATTTTTTTTCAATTGAGTCATAAAATACAACTCGAATAACTTTTTATGATATATTTTTATCATATATAAAATATATGAAGAAACATATATTTATTGTATATGATTATAAAAAAACAATTTAAATTAAAATAAAAAAGTGTCATGATTTATAAATATTTATAATTAGTTTTATACAATAACTAGAAACCCCAACTTGAATTTAATAAGTGCGACTCCAATCAAGTTTGAGTTGTAAAATAACTCATCAATTGGAATAAATAAATAAATAATTTATTCGAGTAACTATAAAAAAGTAAATAATTCAAATTCACGATATCAAAATTCAAATTCTTACATCTCATTCCTAGACTAACTATAAAATGTTATTCATAATTATTTAAAAAATGTTGCATGAAAATATCAAATAATAATCGCATTTGATAAAAGACAGTATTTTACTGCCCAATAGTCTTCCGAAATTACAACCGAATGCATTAAGCCATAAGCCCCCACCCCCCTTTGACCTGCAAAAGCCAAACAATGAAATGATAAAATGTTCGCAATCAGGATGGATTTACATATATCTACATAAATGCATGTCATCGCGGATCCAGAAATTTTCTTAAAAGATGGGCACACATGCATTAATAACATAAAATTTTAGTATGGTGTAAATACAATTAATAAAATAGATAAATAACCAAAGAAAATTGAGATTTCACGTATCCACCCTGATCCAAGGGTATATATGACTGTCATAGTACTAGTTAAAATCATTATGTACATCTTCATGCATTCTATCAAATGACAGTCAAACCAAACTGTAAGTCGAAGAGTTGATAGAAAACTTTCCAAAGAATTATAGTCGGACGACTAAACTAAATAAAACGTAAAATTAAGTGACAAGATTGCAAAAAGATTAATTGAATTTACACGTCTATTCTCCAGCGATTGAAGAGCATGTTGTGGTTCCAGTTTGATTAAAATTTGACCTAAAAAGAAGGATGGATTGAAGAAACAATAAAATCAGAGACAAATCACAAAACAATCAAATTATTTAGCTAAAGACCAAAACGATGTTGTTTTAATTTCCGATCTTTTGATTATTCAAATTTTGCAGATTAAAACTCGACTTGAACTCGAAATTTAAATCAATAATTTGAGTTGACTTGAACAACTAGAATAACTCAAAATAAAAAAAAAAAAAAATCAAATCGAATCGAGTCATACCAACCCCTAATTTTGTATGACCAATGAATTCCCAAATACAATCAAGTGCACCATCTAAACAATCAAAATCACAAATCCTTCATCAGTTAAACTTCATCAGAGTCAAAACATCAAAACAGATTCATGTATAATACAATATCATCAAAATCATTGATCCAATAAGCATTACCAAACATGCATGCGAAAACCCACCAATCAAGTTCAGAAAAGAGTCAATCAAATCAGCATCTAAGATTCCCAACATTTCAACAACTAAACGTGAACTTCAGACATCAATCACCCATTTAAAATAATAACCAGATCAACATAACCAAAAAAAATCCAAAAATAAATGGGGGAACATTAGAAATACCTGGATGGGATGGGGATCAATGATTGCCATGTTCCTTGTGCTCAAGATGGCGACGCTCGTTGGGGAGAGCGACGAGGTAAGAGAAGATCATCCCACCGAAGCAGACATGGTAAAGAGGCTGGATTGAATCAGTTTGAATGTATTTGGAATTGTAATTGTCCAAACCCCTTTGAAAAGCTTTCTTCACGTAGTCCATGGATAGCATCGGCTTCACGTAGTTAGGGACTTCCTTCACTTTCATCCCTTTGATCTCGCTGTAAACTTTCCTCATTGCCATTTCTCCCAATCCAAACCCTAGCTTATTGCTTCTAGGAGAATGCGAAATTTAGAGGATGGATTGATGATGATGATGGGATTATCGAGCTTGTTTATTGTTTTTGTAAAAGAGAAGACTATTCTCTCTTGGATTTAAGCCTTCTTAATTGGGCCGGCCTGCTTCACTTCTTCAATTTTATTTTTCAATATCAGTTCGAATGGGTTAGGTGGATTTTGTGAGGAAGAGAATTGGGGTGGGACAAAAACAGGTTTATACTAAAAATTCCAACTTCATTCAATTTGAATAATTATTTTAATATTTTTCTATATTTAAATCTTTTATTATCTTTAAGGAGGTGTCATTCAATCCGAGAATCAATCTTTCTTCACTCGAACTTGATTTAATTTTTTAGAGACGTATAATCCAATTCAAATTTTGAGCTAAAAATTTGTATTTAGTCTGACTCAACACTAATAACTAAAAAAATTATTTTATTTGATAAAATGCAAATCTAATTAAAATTATTATTGAGAGGTATATTAGAGTAATTATCCTTAAATATATAGAAAAAAAATATATTAATATCTTAAGTAAGTTTAAGCCGTTGAGTAAAGTATTTTTCACCTTTAACATTGAACCTAATCCGACTCGTCCTTTATAATATCTTTCTGATCCTGAACCTAATTTTTTTTTAAAACTCTAAATTTGTCATATTCAAATTAAACTGTAATTCCTAATTAAATATATTTTTAATGAATTCTGAAAATATAAAAATATATATAATATAGCTATATAGAAATTGGAATCATTTGGGGCAGTGAAGTGGTCAGTCACATGTGGTGTACTGGTGTATAAGGGAAACGACAAACTCTGGTAGGGCAGACTCACATGTGCTTCAATCTCTCTCCATCGAGCTTTCCCTATTAATAATTAAATATATAATTATCCCCTGTTTAATTGAATTTAATTGTATAAATTATATATATAATTGAAAATTATATTAAACAAAGCTGTTCCACAAAAAGCAATATATCTTGAGATGGAATTAAGATAAATATTAAATTTAAAGGATTTACTTTTAAATATGATTGTAATTTAAAAAATATTAAAAAATAATTTAATAAATTTTAAATTTATAGGAACTTAATGAATATTTAAATAAAAAAGGATGGAAATTATCTAATTTGACTAACTACAAAGCTTTTAGGGACCTAAAATGAATCAAATAAGAAAATTTAAGGGGTTCGAACTTAATTTGATTTACTTCAAAACTAATGTGGACCTAAAAGTAATTAACCCATAAAATTTAGGTGATCGGGATCGCTCTCGGCTCGTACCCAATGTAAACAAAGACTGGACCACTAATGGAAGTTTTCGGTTTTGGCTCTAGGATCGAGTGTGGATTTCATAAGTGGAGAAAAGCACTTGTAAATCATAATTGCCTAAATATCTATTTTGGTATTTTTATATAGTTTTATTTAATTATATATTTGAATTTATATTCTATTAAACAAATTACTCTAAATTATACTTTCATTGAAAAAGCATTAAGCATTTAAATTCAAATTCAAATTTATATATGAACTTAATTTATTGATTCAAGTTAGTACTTAACTTAATTTTTTTAAAATTCAAATTTAAGCAATTTATACAACATAATTCAGGTTCAGATATATAATTAAAAAAGAAAAAGATAAAAGTATCAAATTAAACTTATAAACTAAGTTCAATTACTAAAATGTATGTTTAAATATCTATAATGAAAAATGAAAAAAAATCATTAAAATAATATTGATTTTTTTAATTAAAATAAACTGAACATGAACAAGCTTAATGTTAGAGTTTATGACTTGAAGTCTTTTGCTTTAGCTTGAAATTTTCAAAATGTGACATATTTGATAATGAAATACGGAAGAAAAATAAGAATCTACAGTAGATATGACAAGTCTCGAGCTGATAGATCTAAAATTGTAGCTCACCACTGATCTTATTGGGGGACTTGGGATAGAGTTTTGATGTATGATACAATTTTATTCAGTTCTTAGAGTTTGATGTTATTGTACAACTATATATATATATAAAAAAACTGTTAGGATTTGATGTATTATTCTACAATTCTCTTGTAATTCGTCGTTGCTTATACATATTTGTATTTGATTATCTTTTAAAAGATTTCCATGTATATATATTTTAGGTCTACTCATGTACAAGTGTGATTTATGACACGTGACACGACTCTAAAATTTGAAAGGTCACACATAAATGTCATTCAAATCCGTTTATATGCAATCTTTGTGTCATAATGATATTTTATTTTAAAGGGAAAACAAATTTTTCGTTTGGTTCTCTGGAAAGTGACAAGAAAAATTGTAAGCAAAGATTTTGATTGTATCTTTAATTATTTTTCATGATGAATTTTGGTAAAAAAAAAAACCTCGTAGATCCCTCGTAATTTCAAATTTGATAAATTAATATTTATTATAAAATATTTTAAGAGTCTCATTTTAAATATTAACATAAAGATAACATATATTTTGGGACGGACCACTATATATTTATTATTATCTGTAATACTTTAAAATAAATAAATAAACATTAATAGAAATTCATTTGCTCAAACTCAAATCTATTTTCACCTATGTTTGAAGGGTTAGAGTTGCCATTGCCAACACGTGAAAACAAGGACTCTGCTGTAGGGAATCTCAGCACACAAACGGCTGATGCATGCGACGTATGGCTTGATTTCCTCTGGGTCCCCCTCTTACACAATGCACTGATGCTTTGTAACTCGGTTGTCTTGAGATCCAAATTAGGGAGATACAATGAGCCCATTTTCTGATAATTTTACTTTCAAATAAAATATTTTATCTGAATTCACGTTTGATTATTTTTATTTGTCTCAAATTTATATTAAAATTTTTTAGTAAATATTTTTTATCGATACATTTAATTTTTTGATATAATGTTAAAATCAATCCTTAACATTTGTTAAAATGATCATTTTTAGTTCATATTTTTTAGAATTTTTTTGCCATAATATTTTATTTTAAGATAAAAAGACTCATAACATTTGATAAAATAATCACTTTCGTTCTTATTATTTTTTTCTATATCCTTTTTACTTTCAACATTTTATTTTAGGGTAAAAATATATATATTTTGAAGTGTTAATAATGTGTTAAGTTTATAAAAAAAATAGTGTGTTAAATAACAATTTTCATTTATAGAGGATTTTTTGTTTTAAAATAAAACGTTGAAAGTTAATTTTAGCATCATGTATAATTTTTTCATATTTTCAATAAGATAAAAAGATATCGTATATATATTAAAATGATTTTTCTCTGTTAAAAGTAACGAGAAAATAAATGCTGAGAAAAAAAATTAAAAATGTAGAGATAAAGATTAAATATTTAAAAAACTAAAGATAATTGGACAATACTCTGTAAAGTTGTGGATTGTTGCACACTTGCACTTATCTTCGGTGAAAGTCGTCTATAGGAGATTATGTTTAACCTTTAACCAATTCCAAGGACATCCCCAGCAGTCGACGCTTTGAATTTTGAGAAAGAAAAAGAGAAATCACCTGCAGGAGAAGATGACTTCCACCAAAGAACTTAAACTTCACTCGGTACTATTCAAACATCTCTAATAATTACTTTTCTTCTTCACAACCCTATTTTCTTTTCTCAAGATACGCTTCTCACTATGTTTTTCTATTTCTCTTAATATTTATATATATGCGACATAATAATAATAAGTATTATTATAATTCGAGTTTAATAAAAGTTTTTTAATCATAAATTTAACTCTATCCGACCCTCTCTTTTATAAAGATTATCTCAAATCTGATACGCTTTTATTGAAAATTTAGTTTTATAAAATTAAATTAGTTGGATTTATATATTTTGATATACATATTAAATTTACTAAATTCAGTAATTTTTGTTTATATATATCTTTCGCCAGCTGGCAAAGCTAGTATTATATATGTTTAATTAGGAGAAGTAGGAAAATTAATTTATTCACGTGAGAACATTCTGACTTTAACTCGGCTCATTTACTCGATTTTTCTACTTTTACTCCCTCACCATTGATTTTTTTTTTCTTCTCCCATCTTCACTTTTTCACCATTGATTTTTGAATTTTTTTCCAACGTTTGTTAATGTTCAAAGTTTACTTATTTTTAGACAATAATATTAATTTTAATGTTGATTATCGACCGTCTGTATTACTTATTTTTTCTTAATTTATTTTTTTTATTTTTCAACTCTATCTCTCTGTCACGCTTTCGTTTGTCTTTATAATATGTTTTACTTTACCTTTGTTATCATGTTGATCTTCTATGTTCTGGATCTTCAAAGTGGGTTTAGATATACGGTTTGCATTCAAAAATAGTCTTTTCATACGCTCAACTCTAATTTGTGATTGTCGATGATTTTTCAATAGTTTGATCCCTGTTGTGGTTCATTTTCCAATACAGTCGGATCTATTTATATATGTATTTTGTTCGAATTTTTAGATGAGTTTTAATCTTTTCTTTGTATGCTCCTTGATGATCTCAAATGATTAATTTATTGTATTAATAATTATGAGATATGTCTTAATTATATGTACATTGTAATATTGGATATTATCTATTTTTAAATAAAATTAGTAACTTCTATTTGTATAAAAAATCCAAGGTTTAATATGCAACGAATGGAAATTTTAAGGGACAAATTGGGTAAAAATTGTTAAGGAGCAAAGTGGAAAAAGTTGAATACTTCATGGGTAAACTGTGTATTAAACTGTAAATTAAATATTAGTAGTTGCATCCATTCGTTTCGGTCCAATCAGATCCCCTGCCATGCTGCTCCCTTATCAACTATCCACTCAAAGGTTTAGTTGTGGTTTTAATCCCTCTTTTATATTAAAATTTAAAATCTGGCCACTTTCCTTTGATTTGACACAATATGGTCTTTTATTTCATTAATATTATTAGTAGGTTCAAATTGACAATGTTGACAGTTTCCATTATCAAAGGAATGACCGGATATTTTCAAGACAACTTTAGCATTCGGTTGGTTTGTAAATTTATCATTTGTTAAATATGACTGAATGAATTTTCATGTGACCCTAATTACGAGACGA